ATCATTACTACTACTAAGACTTATTACTGCTACTACTACTACTACTACTGCTACTACTACTACTACTACTACTACGACTAGTACTACTACTACTACTACTACTACTACTACTACTACTACTACTACTACTACTACTACTACTGTTATTCCCTCTTCTCCTCCTGCTCTCCTCCTCCTCCCTCCTCCTCTCTCCTCCTCCCTCCTCCTCCTCCTCCTCCTCATCATCATCATCATCAGCATCATCATCATCATCATCATCATCATCAGCATCATCATCATCAGCAGCAGCATCAGCCTCAGCATCATCATCATCAGCATCATCATCATCCCTCCTCCTCCTCCTCCTCCTCCTCCTCCTCTCTCCTCCTCCTCCTCCTCCTCCCCGTCATCATCATCATCATCATCATCATCATCATCATCATCATCATCATCATCATCATCATCATCATCATCATCATCATCATCATCATCATCATCATCATCATCATCATCATCATCATCATCATCATCATCATCATCATCATCGCCTCCTCCTCCTCTCTCCTCCTCCTCCTCCTCCGCCTCCTCCTCCTCCTTCTCTTCCTCCTCCTCCCTTCTCCCTCCTCCTCCTCCTCCTGCTCCTCCTCCTTCTTCTCCTCCTCGTCCTCCTCCTCCTCCCGCGTCCTCGTCCTCCTCCTCATCCTCCTCCTCCCGCCTCCGCCGAGGCAAGCAGCAAGAGAGAGAGAGGCCTTCTCCAGCTTCTCGGCCTTGCTGGCATCCTCGCAGCGAGGGCGCTGTGTTATGGCGGAGCGAAGGGTGGGGATGGGGCACATGCTGTCACCAGACCTCCCTAATGGGGGGCCTAAGCGACAAGAGGCCCGCGGCTGCCACGGCATCACGGAGACATCGACGGACAGTGTGTCAGCGATGTCGGTATGGATGACCTGGTTCCAGATCGCGCCGCATCGCCAATGCATCGGCGACGCGGTCCGGCTCGGAAATACTACCACCCCTGTTGGCGAAGGTGGATCGGCGAGTTCGTTATGCCAACACCCTTTGAACCCTTCGGGGGTGGCTGTCCCCACGTTCGCGAGGGGGGAACGCGCACCAGCCCTAATCCGCCGGCCCTCCTGTGAGGCCGCCAGGCTGCAGGGCGAAGCTGCTGCTCCCCGCACCCGTTGCAGTTTCAAGTCTCCGAAGTTACAGTCCTGATTCTCTGCCTCCTACTGTAAAATGTTTAAATCCGCGCGAGGGGGGGGAGCCCCAAAGGGCCCGGTTTCCACGCCCAGATCGCGTTCTCTGAATCCCACCAGCCCTTTGGGCGACAGGTGGTCTAACGAGGGTCTCTTTCCTCTTCCCTCTTCCCTTCGGGGAGGGGAACCCCCCCTCCCCTCCCTGAGGTTCTTGGGGAGGGGCCGCGAGCTGTCAGAGGGTCCTTTTTCGGTCCCTAGGGGGGCCTAATTTTGACACCCCTCACGAGGATCGTGGCCCCCGAGGGGGGGACGAACATCTAGTACCCCCACTCTTTTGACCAGCCGGCTCTCCACGGCTCCCAAGAGGCTTCTAAGAAGGCCCAAGGAGCGCCCCAAGAAGCCACAAGAGGCCTCCGAGAGGCACCCGAGATGCCCCCAAGAGGCCCCGAGCGGCCTCAGGGAGCCCAAAATGACCTCCAAGATGGCTCAGATAGCCCAAGCTGTCTCAGAATGGCTCCCAAGATGCTCCAAGCGGCCCCGAGACCGCTCCAAGACGTCTCGAGATGGACACGAAGCCTCCCAAGCCTCCCTCGCTGTTTGACTATGCGTGTCTTCCTCTCCCCCCGTTAACTCTCATGGGCATCGTTTCTGGATGGGCCGGTGGGGATACGTTTTTTGATCGCAGGCGCAGTGGAAGACGCCGGGCGCCGTCAGAACGAAGCGTCGATGAAAAGAGGCTGGTGGGGATACTTTTTCCGTCGCGGCCGCAGGCAGAGGCGCCAGCAACGTCAGCAGAGTTAGCTCGGGCTACGAATAACCTAATTGCGGGCGCGCGCGCGCGCCGAGCAAGGCAAGCCCTACCGCCGGGGGAAGCAGCTGCGCCGGGGCTGAGCTGCGCCGAGGGGGGGACTGCAAGCTGCGGGGGCGGCCAGGAAACTGCAACATGCGTGTACCATGGGAGCTGAAACGCCAGGCACGTGAATTTCAACCTTGTCGCCACAGGGCGCCAGAGGTCAGGGCAGCGGACCGACAGGCGGACCCGTATCCCATAGGGCCACCAGACAAACCAGAGCCATGGAAGTGCAAGCACTCGTGCAAGAACTGGTCAGACCGCACGCCACCTGAACGCCAGGGGTTGCCTCTCCCGGCACCACGGACGAGATCTGGTCCGTGGTGCCGGGAGAGCCAAAAGCACGAGGGACGGACACATCCACCGAGGGCAGAGGGAAACGCCCGGAAGCCTGCGGCGAAGAGGCGTGAGCCGAAGACGTCACGCAGAAGGGGCCAATGCCAGGGAGACCGAGCCAGGCCGTGGCCAGGTCCGGGCAATGGCCAGGGTGAAAACAACTACAGCAACGGCCAGGGCCGAAAGGCACGTCTCGCCCCGACCCAGCTGGGCCTGCGCACCCGGTATGACGGCGCCGCGGGGCCGGGTCCCCAAGGGCGGGGAGGCCGAGCCAGGTGCCGCGCTGGGGCCGACACCGGACGACACTGGGCCAGCAGCGGGGGGCTGTAAACCGCTGCGGTCAGGTGCGGTTAAAGCCAGGGTGAGCACAAGGCCGCGAGCACTGAGGGCGGCGGTACCCGGAGCCCAGGCGCTCGAGACAGGAGGCGTGAGCCAGAGACGTCACGCAGAGGGGCCAGTGCCAGGGAAACCGAGCCAGGCCGTGGCCAGGTCCGGGCATTGGCCAGGGCGAAAACAACTACAACCAACGGCCGGGGCCGTGATTCACGTCGCCCCCGCCCCAGCTGGGCCTGCGTACCGGTATTGACGGCGCCAGGGGGCCCGGCCCCCAAGGGCGGGAGGCCGAGCCGGGTGCCGTGCTGGGGCCGTCACCGGACGACACTGGACTAGCAGCGGGGGGCTGCAACTCGCTGCCGCCAGGGGCGGTGAACCCAGGATGAGCACTGCTACAGCAGACAGGCAGGCCGTGCATCAGCACGTTGTGCCTCGCCCCAGCCAGGGCACTGCTACAGCAGACAGGCAGGCTGTCCCTTGGCACTTTGCGCCTCGCCCCAGCCAGCATTGGCAGCGCCAGGGGCCTGTTCCACAATGGCGGGTGGCTGGCCAAGCGCTATGTGGTGACCGGACCCAGTCGTGAAGGGCTGGAGACATAGGGGCACACATGGGCGACTGCGGTAAACGGCTGCACGACCCCAACATGAAAACCTCACTCATCCAGCAAGTGAGGGAGGCCTCCAGCCACAGGCGTTTCTGCGCTGGGAGCACTGGCAGGGAAGTGGCTAATGGTCACGCTGTCTGTGAAAGGAGCGGAACTGAAGCGACCAACGGGCACCCTTACCGGAACGTCGTCTTGATTCCAGAATATACCGGACGATCGATCGAAACCCCCGCCGCATGGGCGTCCGTCTGCCGGCCTCCAGGGGAGGGAAGGGACGACGAGCTGCGGCAGACGACCACGTGTTCACTTTCGAGCACTCCCTGAAGACCGCCGCAGCATACCGCCGCACCTTCCGATACTCACTCCTGAAGCACTAACCTGTGAGGCACGTCTACGAGCGCGGGCGCGCCATCTGTAGCGCACCCGCCTGCCGCCAGGGCACTGCCTCCAGGAGGGGGCGAGCTGTCGAGCGCCCATCTAGCCTCCACCGAACTGCTGCCCCAGGGACGCTGTTAGGAGTGAGGAACCGCATGGGTGTCCGCTTGTCCGCCTCCAGGGGGGGGGAGGGAACGACAAGCTGCGGCAGACGACCACATGTTCACTCTCGAGCTCTTCCTGAAGACTGTCGCAGCTTACGGCCGCACTTTCCAGTTGACATTTTGGGCCGCAGAAGCCCCCCCCCAGTTTGGGGCGTCGCCACGCCACGCTATGTCAAACTACGCGTCCTCAGTTCCGCGCTTCCGAGCTTGGGCGTTTGTTAAAAATGCTGCTATCGCTGAAGCGCTGGCCTCATTTTAGGGCTACCGCTCGTTCCGAATCGTGCTCCCACTGCAGCGCTGGCCTCATTTCCGCGCTTCCGCTCGTTCCGAATCGTGTTACCGCTGCAGTGCTTGCGTCATCATTTCCAGCGCCATGCCACGGCATGTTTTGTCGGTCCTTCCAAATAGGCCCCAGAATCTAGAAACTGCTCTCCCCCCCGGAAAAGCCATCGGAAATGATCACACATTCGGTGTCGGTTCGTTGATTTTTTTTCGGCCGCAGAAGCCCCCCATTTGGGGGCGTCGCCACGCCATGCTATGTCATATTACGCGTTGATCTTCAACACCATGCTATGCCGTGTAATGCTACGCCATGCTACGGCATCCGATTGCGCGACTAGACAGGAGCTCTGCGCCATGGTAAGGGATGGGAGGGAGGGGCAGGACGTCAGATAGTAGGACGCGAGCGCACCCCGCTTTCCTCCCTCCCCTCCCCTCCCCTCTGAAGGGGCCATGGGACACACAAATAAACACACACAAATTAAAAAGATTCCCCTACATTTCCTTATATTTCCTGGGTTTTTGTCTTCCCCCCCACTTCCCATATTTTCCCATATTTTCTAGGGAATCGACGGTCAGTTGTGTCTGTGTGTTGTTGCTCCCTCCTGACCCTCCCCCGCAGGCCTCGCCCCCTGCCCAGCCCTCCCCGTGCGCGGAAGCGCCAGAGCTGCCGTGCGCGGGCGAGGGCCGACGAGAAGCCCCTCTGCTCGTCACCGCGAGGCCTCCCCGGATGCGCCGGCCAGGCTGGGGCAGCCCAGCCTCACACGCCTGCTGCACCTGCGGTGTGAAGCACCAGCCTCCCGCTCCCTCCCCCTCCCCCCGAGGGGCAACGAAAGGGGGGGAGACTGGCACAAGGGGGGGGGAAACATCGACCTGGAATCGGCGATGCACCGCCGGTAGATGGGCGATGGGCCCGAGCTAGCGAAACCGCACGTTCCAGGGCGGGGCGGACCATCGGGCCCCTATCGGTGATCCACGGACGATTGGGGATCGATGCATCCCCCTGAGCCTATCCCCCCATGAGCCGATCCCCCCGCAATGATCCTCGTCGTCTGGTTTTCGGGTCATAACTCGGGTTTCTGGCGGCCGCTCGGGGCGCTCTGGGCACGCCTGGAACGCTCTCGGCGAGGCGCAGCTGCTGGAGAGCACCCCGAGGATGGAAAACCGCCGAGGACCGACGAAAACGCCCGAAAACCTCGAGCCGCGAACCCGAAACGCTACCCCCCTCCTCCTCCTCCTCCTCCTCCTCCTCCTCCTCCTCCTCCTCCTCCTCCTCCTCCTCCTCCTCCTCCACCTCCACCTCCTCCTCCTCCGCGCCCTCGTCCTCCTCCTCCTCATCATCATCCTCCTCCTCCTTCCCCTCCTTCTCCTCCTCCTCCTCCTCCTTCGCCTCCTCCTCCTCCTCCGAGTACAGTCGGACCTGGGCCAGAAGAAAACCATTTAAGGACATGAGGACACATCCGCGGGCCAAAACACCCCCAACACTAGGATCATTCAAGGGGTACCCTCCCCCAGGATCCAGGAGAGCATCCAGCAGGCACGAAGAACATGAGGGTACCCTCCCCGAACCGACCTCGATCTTACGCCTCGGTCCGCCTCGGTCCGACTACAGATGGTTAGGGGTCGGAGGATCGCGCAGCCTAGCCGAGGCACTGGCGATGCCTCGGCGATGCATCGTCGACGTCGGCGGTGCATCGTCGACGTCGACGCGGAGAGAGCCAGGCTCGACATCGAGCCGCATCGCGGATGCCTCGGCGATGCGGTGCGGTCCTCCGATTTGGACGCCCGAAATGGGCACGGAAAGAATGGGTACAATGCCCAATCACAAATGTTGTCCGAAACCAGCAGCGGCCGCTGTTGGGCAGGCGGCCTGTCTCAAATGGACACAGGCCGCGGCGGCGCGGACAGCGAGTCCTGTTCAAAATGAACAGGAACTGCTGTTGGGTATTGCACCCCTTCTTTCCGTACCCATTTCGTTCGTGCAGATCCGACCTCATCCCCGCGGGCACCATTTTTGGGGGAGGCCCAGGGGTCTCCTGGCTGCGGGCCTCCAGGGCCTTGGTGGCGGTGCGGGCGAAGACCTCCGCCAGCGCCTCGGGCAAGGCACGGGGCGCGGAGAGCTTGGCGTCGCAGCATGTTTCGCTTCGGAGAACAGAGGGCGCAAGCTACTTGATGGGCCTGTTTCCCACCACCACTACCACCATAGGTTGGAGGGGTCCTCCTCCTCCTCCTCCGCCTCGGGCAAGGCACGGGGCGCGGAGAGCTTGGCGTCGCAGCATGTTTCGCTTCGGAGAACAGAGGGCGCAAGCTACTTGATGGGCCTGTTTCCCACCACCACTACCACCATAGGTTGGAGGGGTCCTCCTCATCCTCCTCCTCCTCCTCCTCCTCCTCCTCCTCCTCCTCCTCCTCCTCCTCCTTCGCCTCTTCGTCCTCCTCTTTGTCCTCCTCCTCCTCGTCCTCCACCTCCTTCCCCCCTCCGAGCAATGGTGGTGGTGGAAAACAGTCCCATCACTACTCCCGGTCGGCTGCTACCCTCGCTCGGCGCCGTGCTCGAGGCGGCCTGAGAAAACTACGCGTCTTTTAGGCCGGGCCCAGCTTCAAAACGACGCAGTTCTCAAAAGGCACGGGCCCTGAGATCTTGGCGTCGCAACTGTGTGCGCTTCGGGCGTTTCCGCCAGGCTGCGGGCCTCGGGACCAGCACACACCCGTTCGGCTCGACAGAGTTCCGCAGAAGGATGGAGTCTAGGGCTCTGGTCGCGATGTGTGACGATGCTTCAACCTTTTGCGACGTCGGGTCCTAGTGGGCGGTGCAGAGGGGATGGGAGGGGAGTGCTTGAAATGGTATGGTTCAGGGGCGCCCGAACCTCTGTGATGGGACCAGAGGCCTGCCATGCAACTCTGGCGTGCCGCGCGAGAACATGGCATGTCCTGCATCGAGTACGACGGTTCAGCTTGAACCTCGTCCCTGATAGAGACACAGCCGGGGGGGGGGAGGGGGGGGGTGGGGCTGGAGGGGGGGAAGGAGGGAGAGGGGGGGCAAGCTAGGTGCGCTCGCGTCAACATCTGACATTCTACCCCTCCCTCCCATCCCTTACCATGGCGCTGATTTTCTCTATCCGCGGACGCGTGTCGTAGCGGACCTGTGGCTCCGCGCGCGTGTGCGTAGTGGGTGGTGGTGCGCGTGCGTGCGTGCGTGTGTGCGTGGTTGTGGTTGTTGTGGTGGTGGTGTGTATGTGTGTGTGTGCGTGTGTGCGCGTGTGCTGTGGTGTGACGTGGTGTGGCGTCTTGGTGGTTTGGTGGTGGGCCAGGTGCGTACGTGCGTGATGGCGGTGGTGGTGGTGGCGGTGGTGGTGTGTGTGTGTGTCTGTGTGTGTGCGTGTGTGTGTGTGCGTGTGTATGTGTGTGTGTGTGCGTGCGTGCGTGCGTGTGTGTCTGTGTGTGCGCGCGTGTGATGTGGTGTGACGCGGTGTTGCGTGGTGGTGGTGGGTGGGGTAGTGCGGTGGTGGTGGCGGTGCGCGGTGGTGGTGCGCGTGCGTGCGTGCGTGCGTTGGTGGGTGGAAGTGGCGGTGGGTGTGCGTGCGGCGGGGCGGGGCGTGGTGCGGCGCGGTGGTGGCGGGCGGATGGGCGCGCGAGAAAGAGGCCCGCGCTGGGGCGAGAACGCCATCCTGAACGACGGAGGCAAAACACCGATCCGAAAATGAGGCCCACGCTGCAGCGGGAGCACGATTCGGAACGATTCGGGAGCAGAAATGAGGCCGGCGCCTCAGCGAGAGCAGCATTTTGAAAAAAACGCAGGCGAAAACCCAACTCCTGGGAATCCTGTGTGTAAAAAAACAGTACGCGGGGGGGGGTCGGCCACTCCCAGCACGCCATCAGGGGAAGAGGGAGAGTAGTATTCATATTGAGTAATTGTGGAGGGGGGGGGGAGGGAGGAGGAGGGGTGGAGGGCGCGGCTGGCGGGGTGGGGGAGAGGGGGGGGGGAGGGCGGGGCGGGAGGGGGGGGAGTGAAGGGGGGGGGAGGGGAAAGGGGAGCAAAATCCGAAGACCCCATTAAGCGCGAAACGACTGAGGAGGCTCTTCTCGGGAAGGAGCACAGCAGTGGGCGAGGAGGGGAGGGGTTTGGCGGGGGGGAGAGGGGGGGGGCGCGGAGGGGGGAGAGCAGGGGGGGAGTGTGGGGAGAGAGTGGGGAGAGGGAGGAGAGAGGTGGGGATGAAGGGGGGGAGAATGCCAGAGGAGGGAGGGGGGCCGGGCAACCTGGGCGCGCTCGCGCCATCGCTGACACTCTGCCCCTCCCCGCCCATCCCTTCCCGTGGCGCTGGTGCTTTCTCTGTATATCTGCGGGCGCGCGTCATCGCGGGCCTGGAACTTCAGAGACGACCCCATCGCGTCGTGCGCTCTCGGCGGGAGGTGGCGGGCTGGCAGAAGGCTGGGCGGGAGGACGCGGCCGGGAACCCTGGGGGGACAGCGTGCCGGCGCGGCGGCCCTGGCGACACGCTCACGCCGTGCGAGCGGACGGCGCGCCGCTCCGCCCAGCGGGGCGGGGGGCCGAGGGAGGCCCGGGACGTGGCCGCGAGGCGGAGAGCGCGTCGCTCCAGAGCGCGGTGGGCCAGGCCAGGAGCGGCGGAGCGGCACGCTGTCCAGGGGTTCCCGCCGTGAGCAGGAGGGCGAGCAGGAGGACGAGGGAGGGAGGAGGAGGAGGAGGAGGGCGAAGAGCAGCAGCAGCAGCAGCAGCAGCAGCAGCAGGAGCCAAATGGGAGGGAGCGCGCACGCTGCGAGCTTCACGCGTGGAGTCTGGCCAGCGTCAAAAAAGTGGAAGGAGCGGGAGGAACGGGAGGACCAGGGGAAGGTGGGGGAGGGGAAAGGACTCGGATTCAGGAAACTGGCCCGCGCTGGGACGAGAGCGCCACTCTGAACGACGACAGCAAAGCGCCGATCCTAAAAGGAGGGCTATGCGGCAGTGGGAACACCATGTTGAAATACCGAGAACGCTCCGATTGGGAAACACATTTCGGAAAGGTCAACATCTGATATCCTGTATAACGACAATATGCGGAGAGGGAGGGACATCTTCTGGACAGGGTCAGGGGAGAAGGGAGAGTAGTCTTCATATTGAGTTAAATGTGGAGCGTGGGAGGTGGGGGAGCGGGGGAGAGGGAGGCGAGCCGGGGGCAGTGAGGTCTGCGTGTGCAGGGTCAGAGCCATGCGCGCCAGCAGCGGCGGCGGCTCATGGGTTGAGGGAGGGAGGCAGAGGGGAGTGGGGAGGTGGGGGGCATGGGGGAGGGGGGGGGAGGTTGTCAGAGCAGAGAGGCGGAGAGGGAGGAGGGGGAGGGGGAGGGGAGAGCGAAGGGCGAAGGGAAGGAGGACGGGGAGTTGGGCGCAAGGTTGAACAGGTGGGGGCGTGAATGTGCCACGCTTCAACAAGCACCTCGTGCCTGCAAATGTCACATGAAATTGTGACAATCTGGAAACTATACGTCGAGAGTTAAATGAGGAGCATCTTTCTCCTGCAGGCACATAACGCCGACCATGTGATAAAGAAATCCGTTCACTGAAGACTCTGTGCGACAATGCTGAGGATCCGCACTGTTACTGCCAGCACTCAGCGCCTCGCCCTTCCTTTCTTCATCTTCCTCAACCTGTTAAACTCATCCTCCTCCTCCTCCTCCTCCTCCTCCTCCCTCCTCCTCCTCCTCCTCCTCTCCTCCTCCTCCTCCTCCTCCTCTCCTCCTCCTCTCCTCCTCCTCCTCCTCCTCCTCCTTCTCCTCTTCTGTCGATGCCAGAAGCCCCTCCTCCCCATTCTCCTCATGCAGCTCATCCTCCTCCAGCTCATCCTCCTCCTCCTCCTCCTCTTCATCCCCCCCTCCCCATCCATATCCTCCCATATCCTCGTCCTCCATCCCCTCCCTCCTCCTTCTCCTCCCGCCTCCTCTCCCTCCTCCTCCTCTCCTCCTCCTCCCTCCTCCTCCTCCTCCTCTCCTCTCCCTCCTCCTCCTCCTCCTCCTCCCCTCCTCCTCCTCCTCCTCCTCCTCCCTCCTCCTCCTCCTCCTCCTCCTCCTCTCCTCTTCCTCCTCTCCTCGTCCTTCTCCTCCCCCTTCGCCTCATCATCCTGCTCCTTCCTTATGAATAACGCCACCCCATCACACTAGCATACGTGTCGGCAGAGCGCTCTTGGAATTTCGCCTGAGACTTCCTCACACATTACGACCCTGATGCGTCAAGCTTCCCACAACTACACGGATGGACGGCGGGTGGTTTTCAAGTTGTCTCTCTCACCTTGCCAGTATTCGTTCTTCATGGCTCCGATGTTTGCACGGACGGAGGTGAGGTTATGTCCAAAATGCAGCTCTCGCCACGGCACCCCTCACACTCATCCCAAAAGTGTTCGGCTTGAATGGCGGCACATGTTCGACATGAGACCCTCGCTGGAGACCTCACCTTGTTCTAGACGACATCGACTCATGTGTAACTGCTGCACGGGGGATGGCTCCTTTTCAAATTGGACATCTACGATTGATTCGAAGATGGAGGAAGTTCCGTCTCAAAACGGGGCTCTCAGCTCTCGCCGTCATGGAGTGGTCATAGAGCGTTCGTTTGTCAAGCGGGCGCTCCCAGCTGTAAAAGACATGATTGCAGGGACTCATGAGGAGAGGACTCGGGATGCGAGTTTATCACAACATCGTTGATGCATCCTGGTTTTACTCTTGTCTTCCTCCCCTTCCTCTCCCTGTTTTCCTCCTTTCCCTCCACCTCCTCCTCATCCTACGCCTCCTCCTCCTCCTCCTCCGCCTCCTCCTCCTCGTCCTCCTCACCCTCCTCTTTTAATATGTTGGTTGCCTTCCTTTCCTCCTCTCTCCCCCTCCTCCCAGCGGAAGGAGACGGAGGACGAGGAGGAGGACGAGGACGAGGACGAGAAGCAGGAAGACGTTTGAACGACCAGGCCACAAATTCGGCCCTGCCGTGGGAAAAGAAGGCATCCCAAGTGGAAACTACACGGACCCCGGGGAGGGGGCCCGGAAAGCCTAACACGGCGACCAAACTCGGGATCGAATGTTGATCGTGGTGATCGGTGATTCGTGGAGCTCCCTGAGAA